GTTCTTAATGTAATACTAATGTATAATGTATTCAATGCAAAGTAATTTAAAAATAATACATGATAGGCAATCCTACCTCTTAGGATTAAATATTAAACAAACTTCTAAGCCAGAAATCACCCCAATAGGAGCAAAAAATTTTACATCATTCTCTTCTAAGTTCTAACTTATACTATTAATGTTTGCACAATTGTTCGCCGAATTCTCTTAATTTGTACACTTTTAAATAACCTACCAAACATATAATTATTAGAATTCAAATATTACCTCCATTCACTATCTTGCTCAATGTGTAGGAATTTAACCTGTCGGTCTAGAATCGCAACGTTTCCTAAACCATTTTATGAACCTGGCCACAGCGCAATTTTACGTTTGAGTTCACAATATTTTACTCCTTCGAACCTCATTTTTTGAAAATTAAAGTTCTAAGGTATGCAGCAACTTGTATAGTTTAATTCACAACCAGGTGTGGATCCAAAGAAGGTGCTAGGGTGCTATAGAACCCACCCCCCTTGGAATATTGCTTCCTGGAAAACAAATACTCTACACAACATGTATTTTTCAGTAGGCTTAGGTCATTTCTGAACAAATTTATTACTAAAAAAAAATTGAGTTGCCACCCTTTGAATATCAAGCACATTAATTTTGAGGACTAAAAAAAAGTATACAGAATACTAGACCTTAACCTTAGCAATCCCCATAAAAAATCCTAGATTTGCCACTGTTCACAACATTATAACAATAATTTGCTGTATCAGTTGGTATACAAATTAATAAAATACAAATTATAAAATGTTTAGTATGAAAATGTTATACAATATTAGTACCTTTTGATCCCAAAATAAAAAAAAATATATTTAATTAGATCTTTTTCATTCTTATTTATTATTTTTATTATTGTTAGCTAAATATTTTTCAGAATAATGCTTTCTCATTGCTACCATCTTCTAACACAAAACAATGTAATAATTATAAAATATCGAAATCTGTTATCTAAAATTCTATTGAATATGGATAAATGTAGTAATTATTAGGTACTATTGTTAGTGATTAATTTAATTAGAACCTTTTCATACCAACATATTGTTAATAATTTGGTTCCATTAACCAAGCGTCTAAAATTTGATTAAATTGTATTTATAATTTAATTTTTGGCGATTTAGGACCTTTTACTTTTAAAAGAATCCCCAGTAATGATCGTATAATGATAAATGTTAGCTTAAAACATGTGCCTTTGCATTCTAAAAACATTTTAGTTCAAAAGTGACTTCTGAAAAATATGCGATTTAGAACCTTTTCATTTTAGACCCACGAATTACCTTCCTCTACAAAATATTTATGAATTAAATTTTGATAATTTTATATTTTAGTTAGTTATGAATTGTAGCCCGAGTGTGCAAAAATTTTAATTAAAGCTACATACCCTTTACTGAGTATGTATTCAAAATTAAAATAGAGTTTATAAAATCAAATGAATTCAGAATTTATTTGTTATTTAGGATACCTAACCTAATAAGTACTTTAAGTTTTAAAATTCTAAACTTAAGTATACAATAGTACAACACTATTGCTTGGTAAATGTTTGTGTTTAGAGAAAATAATAATATCTTAAATGTAAAATTGTTGGTACTTTTAACACTATAATTTTGAAGGAATGTTGTATTTATTTATTACAGAGTAATAAATAAAAAAGCCGGTTGGCGTTAATCTTATAATAAACGAAAAAAGTCGCTCTGCTGTACAGTAGGTTACAAGGGGGTCACTGTATAATGGGTGGTATTAAATTTGAATTCAATGATATAATAGGTATCATTGTATAAGAAAAACGATTCTGAACGGAAACGGTATGTCAGTCGAGGTATAAGACATATTATATACTTTTCTATGGTATTAAAAAAAAAATTGTAGGTACCTTTAATAAATTTCAAATTAATCATATCACAATATCCATTAGGTATTTATAACGGGTTATACATCAATAACAAACCCTGAACATACTTCTTATTTCTTATACTAGGGTAGATTGTATGGATAGGCCATAATATTTTCATTTTTTGATTTGTCAGTTTCATATATCCCCGAATAATATTTTTAAATTACAACAAAAACCAAGATCGTTAATATTGGTTTAATATGTAATTTCGTCCAAATTTGAATTTAAAATGTCTGAAAAAAATAACTGTGTTCATTTATTTTTATATTTGTTGGTTATAGTATGAACTATTTATGAGAACCTCTGTTTTAAATTTGCAATCCTTAGCTATAAACACTGAACATTTTATAATTTATTAATTACAATGTTTAACATTTTTCGAAATTTTGATAAATTTTGTCAAAGTTCGAACTTTAAATCCCTATAAAAAAAATTGTGCCAATGTATTTTTAATATTTTTCAATTGCTATTGCAACAATATATCAGGAGCCTTGTATTAAATTTTTACACTTTCTGGCCCAACAGATAAAACTTTATTGATATTTTTAGAAAAAAAACCAAAAAAAATTCTAAAATGAAAATGTCCCTAAACAGTTCAAAATAAATCAAAATATTTTTAAAAAGTTATCGTGTATATTAAATTCAAATATAAACAATCAATGAAAATGTCATGTATCTACGGTCATTTGCTTTAAAGTTACACCAAAAACCAAATTCAATTTTGTGAAAAATCGACTTTGCTTAAAAGTTCCCGTTTTTCCTTAATTTTTCTTTTGTTTTTCTTAGTGCTTTTGAAAATTACTGGGAATTTAGAATTTTGACCTCCCTAACGCACCAACGATATTCACTTTCCAATCGAACAAGATATTGAAGTTGAAAATCGAAGCATTATTTCGACTACTTATCGAACCTATACACTGACACAAATAAAATAAACAATAAAAAATAAAAAAAACACACATCATTGTAAAATCAATACATTCATCGTTCCACTCAGAATCTAAAATTAAATAAATTTTTAAATGACATCTACAAGATTTTATCATGCAATCATGATGTATTTAAATATTTTTAACCATTTAGAGCAGCGGTTCTTAACCTTTTGTAGATCGCGGACCCCTGATGAAAGATTTTTAGAAATCGCGGACCCCCTTACCATTTTTTTTTTACAAAATATCTCATGTTATCATAACCAAAATTATAATGATTATTAATTTATATTAAAAATTACATTAGTAGACATTAAAACCTACACATTTCCAATTATTTTTATTACAATTAATTTTTTATAAAAATGTAATATAAAACTATAATTGAGTACGATACTACGATCGATCAACTGCAATTATAGTGGTAGTAAATATAAGACTGGCGAGACTACAGTGCTGTACGCATGTACATTTCGTATGAACAAGAAAAACTGATTACCTACTTAATAAATACTAATAATACAATTATTTGATGAAGAATCTACATATTATATATGAAAAAAAATAATTATCCAATAATATTGTAATAATACACTCTTTCACTTATTGATGTATCTATGTTATGTGTTGAGGATGCCGCGGACCCCCGACATGTTATCGGGGACCCCCAAGGGGCCCGGGACCATAGGTTAAGAACTGCTGATTTAGAGTTTAGATTTAGATGACCTAGTTTCGTTTTTAAAATATAATGTTCTATACCCTGATAAATTAATAATTATCATATAATTTAATTCTTGTAACTAAGAAAAAATTGATGATTCAATATTTTACAATCATACTTTACATTTTGAGAAAATTATTACACATAATATTCTTATAAAAATACCATTCCATTTCTTTGTTTTTACCGTCAAAACAATTGGTTTCATTGTGACAAATTATTATAAATTATAATATATATTTTTTATTTATTTCCGGTTTTGTGCAATTGCATAATATGTTGATTATATTTTGAAATAATAGTTTATTTTTTATTTATCCACTGTGTTATATAGATTTACATGCAGGCCTGAATTTAACCGGCAAGCTGCTGAGAAAATCTCTGTGGGCAGCATAAAAATTAGGCCTGTAGCTAAAAAAATGGGCCGTTATTATTCTCAGGCAAAAACCATTCGGAGCGTAAACAGTCTGTCAACCTATAATACCAATATTATAATAAAATTATACCGGATATAGAAAATTCTAAAATAAACATTAGTTGAATTATTAACATTTAGTTTTAAATTAAACTTACATAATCTAAGTTACATTTCCACTAGTGCATTTTATTATTTAGTAGTTCTATTATTGAACTATACATCAATAATAATAAAATAATTTTATTTAACTCGTTTTTGACTTTTTCCATAATATCCACACGACCCACAACTCTTTATGGCATAATTAAATCTACTAAGCATTGCATATATGTGTAATTTGTATAGCTATACACCATACTATTATCATGAGCTATCAATACTTACTAAAACTAATTTTCAAAAAAATATCTACCTTGAATTTAAGAGTGAAAAAGTTAAAAGCGACAACAAATATTAGAATTTTACAATTACCAACAAGAAAAATTCCAAAATATTTAAGTTTTTTGAAATCAAGTATTCAAATAATAAACTTCCATATTATATAAGCATTTGAATAGTAAAAAGTTAAGCTTTCATCAATATTAATCAAAATGTTTAAGTTTATTTTTATGATAAAGGCTCAGTCAAACAGAAAGCAGGTTGCCCACACAGTCTCTGTAAAATAATACAACCGGACCACTATCCGCGAATCCGTACACCCTGGCTGCCTGATTTCTGTTTGACTGAGCCTTTAATTTCTCTAATAACTTCTTCTTTATATAAACAATAAGACATTACTATAATAATTAACACCTCTAATTAAGTAGTTCTGCAATAAAAATTATGATGCCACACAGAAGGAGAAACTTCCAGTAATCTTATTAGTCCATGATTTTTTCTCGTTCGACAGAAAAGATTATCTTATTTAGATTTCTTTTTTACTAATTTTGTAAATTAATTCAAGAATTAAGTAAAATATATTGTTGTTTAGTTTTAGATTAGAAGTCACAACATTCCAAAATGGTTGAAGAAGAAATCCGTAAAAAAGTTAATACTTATATTGTCAACTCAATACCCAGACCAATATGCAATGTAGAATTCAAAGTTCTACCATTTTACAGAAGTATATATGCAATTCAGGCTCAACCGGTGGCTATTTATTGTGTTCCAACATATAAGCATGGTTTGAAACAATCACAAGGTACAGAAAAAAAACAATGACAGTAAAATAATTTATTTTTAAGTGGGTAAATGAAATATTTTATTCTGTTTTCAGAATACACTTCATTTGAGTATGAGTTTAAGTTGCCAGAATTAATTGAAACAATAATAAACGAAAAAAAAAATGTCCAATTGCAGATCCGATTTGGAAAAGAGCTGCCAGGGATGAGTGAGCTGTCGGAAGGATTACCAGAACCAATAATGTATCATATCAATTCGAACAAAGGCATGGCAAATAAAAGTCCTATTGATCATTGTTGCAATGTCTTTAAGCTATTGAGTGATACTAAGAATAAAATCACAATATTTTGGCCTCATTGCGAAACACCATATTACATGATTATAAATATTTTAGAGGAATTAACAATTGAAGATTTGGTGAAACGCGTACAATTTAACAATAAACTATGTTCTGTTACTCTAAACACAAAAAATAAGATCAGGGAATTTTTGAAAAATTCCATAAAAAATTCTGATAAAGAAGGTTGTGATACGGTGAAACTGGATGTATCTTCTTTGTGTCCAATAACCAAATTAAAAATGAAACTACCGGCAAGATCTATGAAATGTAATCATTTCCAATGTTTTGATTTGCGTGGATTATTTGAATTGAATAAAATAAAACCAACATGGAAATGCCCTGTTTGTAATATACGCATTCTGGTTGATGAATTGGTTTTAGATTCGTTCATTTTGGATGTTATGAATACTCAATCTCTTCCTGGAAAGGGCTTTCAAATAATGTTACATGACAATGGCAGCTGGGAACCATATGTAGATCCAAAGAAAGAAACAAAAACACCAAAAACAAATGATTCTAATGGCGATGAATCAGAACCAATGATAATCAATTAGACTGCCGACAATACAAAAATTGTAAACTAATGAATAAAATAAATAATAATACATTATTTAAAATTTAGTACAAATAATAATTCAAGTTTTTAATATTATTCTAGGTACTATAATATATTTAAGTTAGACGTTCAATGTATCAATAACAGTCAATTGAAATAATAATGTTAAGTCTATTGTTATAAAAAAAAAAAACCCCAATGCTAAAAATTGTCTTTAAAAAAATCCATACTCTCATATATTTAATTGTTTTTATTATTTAATATAATTATTATTAATTATTATTATTACCTACTATTACTATTATTATTATTATTATTATTATTATTGTGTAGTGTGAACCTAAACTGTTTAACATGGCAAAGAGAAAATTACTAAAAATAATGTATGGTAAAATAATATGATGTAATAAAATAAATGCATGAATACCTAAAGGTTGTTAGAACTTGCTCCTGGTTGCTATTGGTTGCAAATTAATTCAATTGAATGCTAGTACTTTCTATTGTAACTTACGTCTTATAAGTGATAAAGAGTGAAAACATTTTCTGATTTTGATTTATTATTATTTATTAATACTCAAGTATTACAAGTAGGTAATTTTTAGGACATCGTACCCTCATAATATAATGTATCCGTCTTACTAAAGCATAATATAGAAAAATGCACGTTCAGTAGCTCAAACTGTATACTCAAAAAAAAATATTAGAGTGAATTGACCTAATATTATCAAACTTAAATGTAAGAACATTGTCTATGTTCTCTTGTTGGTTTTTTTACAATATTTAAAATGTTTTGTTAATTATGAGCATTTTCAAGTATTAATATTTTACATACCCAATACCCATAGACCATAAGTAAACTCACTTAAAAATTAAAATATTTTATATCACAAATGAGACAACACAGATAATGATAATATTCTTACATTTAAGTTTGATAATAGGTCTATTCACTCTAATATTTTAACTAACAACACAAAACTTAAATTATAACCTCTGACCCTCTAAACCATCAAAAATCTCCAGAAATACCTGAATCTACCAACCATATATGCGTAACTAGAGGGGACCTGGGGGGGGGGCTTAACCCCCAAAATAGTTATTCAATTGTTACCTAAAATATTAAGAATTCAACTCTATTTCTTTTTGAAAAAACTATGATTTATTTCAAAATTATTTTTTATATTTTTAAGTGAAAATGAGGGCGTGGGGATTACTTTTAATGTAATATCAGGTGGTGGCTACAGCGCCCCAACATTTTGGTTCTAGTTGAGCCACTGACAAGCCCTCAACGACCTGGCCAAATTTCAGATACTATGATTGATGATGAACTAATAAATTCATAATATTAGTTTCAGTATAATATGGTATAATATAATGTATACCTATATGTAATATAGGTATACAAATTGACTATAAATAATATTATCTTTCAATTATAATGAGATCCAAGATCCAAAGTAAACTGTGTGTGACTTAAGTGAACCTTTATAATTAGTAGTAGCAAGTAGTTTCTAACCTCTACCCAGTCTGCCATATATTATATACGAGAACTGATGGAGACTGGAAGTTTTGAAAAAGTGTGGCTATTTGTATTTCCATACAAAACAAACTGCAGAATTTGGATTTTTGTTTTCTTAATTTCTTAAAGAACAAACGCAAATATTAAAATTAAAAAATGTGGGTAAGTGGATGTCGCTCTGCTGTACAGTAGGTTACAAGTGGGTCGCTGTAATGGATGGTGTTAAATTTGAATTCAATAATATAATATCATTGTATAAGAAAAACGGTTCTGAACGAAAACGGTCAGTCAGCTTATGATATTACCAAGTAGGTATATTTGATGATATTATTATGAATAAAGTAATTTATATATTATAACCTATTTACGTGGAGCCTTGTTTTAAATTTTCAATCTGTTTTCCCTTAACTTTTCTTTTGTTTTTAACGGCGCTTTTGAAAACTACTAGGAAAATTTTACTTTTGAATCCCTAGGTTCACTTTCCTATCAGAAAAGATACTGTTGAAGAAAATAAAAGCACTTTTAATGTCCTAAAAGATGATAACACACAAAAAAAAAATCAATACATTCATCGTTCCACTCAGAATCTAAACGTTTTTATTATACACTTAGTTTTTAATCTAGTTAATCCCAAGCAAGTAGGTAAGTATATTTAGGAAATAGGAATATTAGGAATAATGACAGTAATAAAAATAAATAAAACTTTAAATAATATGTATTATGAACAGAACAGAAATGTATTTGATTATTATATGCACATACAATTACCTAGGTATATTAAAATGTATATATTATTTATTATTTATATATAATTTATATATTTTATATAAAAAAAAATACAAACTAAAGTATAAAATCCCATTTTCGTGGTAACATTGCAAATCTATCGATAATTTCTTCCACATTTAAACCAACATTTCGGTATATGTTTAGTAAGGCCAATCCAGAAAGTCTCGTTTCTCCCATATTGTTTCGTAAGTATGTTTTAAGTAATCGTAGAGTTGAGAATGACCGTTCAGCAGTAGCAGTTGTAACAGGTAATATGGCCATAATTGTCAAAAGACTGTGAATGTTTGGGAAAAAATCATAAGACATTGCAGACAAAGTAGTCAATGATGTAGTTGGACACTTGGACGGTCTCTATGAGATACATTTTTCCATTTAGCTAGCCATATTTTAATATCTGCGTCAAATGTTTCATAATTAGGTAAAAAATTTGTAAATTGGTAATTGGTAATTTTTGGGTGGTGTCAATGGATTTGTTGATAACTCGTATTTTTTTGCATCATATATATTTTATATTATTAGAAGCTGATAAAAATAATCCAATATCCAGAGAATAATTTTTTAATATTTTCAATATTACTCGATTCACTTTCAGTTTCTTCATTATTTTTCATTTTTTTTACACCAAAATTGAATAATGATGGTTGATCATTATTTCTTTTCATTGTAAAAAAAAAAAAATAATAAAATATATGATATTTAATAAATTTGGTTATTTAATCAGTTTTCATAAGTTAGAACTCGCAAAAATAACCATAACAGTATAACACTATCGCACACGTTACTCGTAATTCGTATATTATAACCGTTCAAATACCGAACACAGACTAAAACTAAACGATCGTCATCGTTTAATGATTTTATTATTGTAGTTTAGCAATTCAATAGACATTTTTGGTGACCGATCGAGTACGAAAATATGATAAAATAAGATAATCCACAAAATATGAGTTTTCTACGTATATCGCAAATCGCAACTATACAGTTCTGTGTTCGTGCGTAGTTCTCAGTAATCACCTCAATCATTCAACTATAATACTATATAAACTTGTATTTCATACCCGACTAATAAACAGAGAAAACCAGTCAACAGCTAATTATAAAAATATTTTATAATAATAGGAATATAATAAATTTTACTTAATTTTTAAAGAAATTATTTCGGGTGGGGGGGGGGGGGATAGTCAAATCTAGTATATTAACTATGGTCCTCTAAAGTTTATTAAAATATGAATTAATACTTCTAATTGAAATAATTGGTACCGGTTTGATTTACAAGAGCTAAATAAATTTTTCTTATAACTAACTTTTATAAATTTATATTTGAACCATAATATTTATAACATATTATGTTCCCTATATTGATATTTAGATAAATAGTCAGTCTCAATATAGGTTTATACCTAACTTACGCATACTTTTAATCTGAGTTAATTACAGATTTCAAAATTATTATAACAAGAATCACGTCATACCATTAGGTGGTTCCACGTCATTTGGTCGTCGTGAAATGAGCGCGCGTCATAAGAGCGAAGTCATTTGGTCGCGAGCAATTTAATCGCGTAAGCAAAAAGAGCGCATATTATAAGAGCGTAAAGTAAAAAACCATAATTTTGAATTATTTTAAAATCAACAAAAATTAGTGTAAATATATAATCACTGATCAGTAAAACAAAATTGATATAAAAAATACAATAAATTATGATACAATTCAGTCAAAAAACCATAGTCAAATATATAATAATCACTGATCAATAAAATAAAATAAATATCAAAAATACAATAAATTATAACATAATCAATATTATCATATTATATTATTATAGTCATAATTATACTAAATTTGTAGCTGAAAATTTGCAGCGATGCCCCTTAAATTTTTGTACTAATTTACTATTTTAGTAAAAATTTGTACTAATTAATGATTCAAAAGAATCAATAACTTTATTTTCTGGGACATAAGCTAAAACCAATAATTTACGTAAACATAATGAAAATTCTGGATCTTCTGAGTATTTTTTTGAAAGTCCCAAACTTTGGATACGACGCCAAAAAGATTGACCCAAGTGAAAAAAACAACCCTTAACCTGTGTTTCAGGGTAAACATGTACTACAGCATTCATGGCGGCCTTTTCAAAATCTAACATGAAAAGTTTTGGATTCAGATTAGATTTAATCGAATTTAATGCTACAAACATTCGGCGATATGTATCTTCGGATTTATCGGGCCAAAGAACGTAAACTAATGGTATCACATTTTTATCTATAATGCTATGATTTATGAATAGTGTAAAGTTGAGTAAATAATTTTGGAGTGCATGAAAATGTGCCATCGGCAAACCAATAATAACTATTCTGTAATAGTTCTAAATTTTTTAACGTTGAAAACAATAAAATTCGTTTATTATCAACATTCTCCAAAAAGCTATCGTATAATAAAAACGGTTCACCACTTACAGATTTTTTATACTCATCTGGAATACTTAAATCAGATAATGTTGCTGGATTAGGTGGTGCTGAACTGATTTGTTTTCTTGTACGTTGTGCTATACGTTTTAATTGGTCGATTGGTGGAAGTTGACTAGCAATATTAATATCAGTCTATAAACAGTTTAAAAAAAAATTATAATATTATAATAATATTATTTTGATTATAACATAACTCATAAGTACATACTTTAGCTGTAACTACT